AGACGTTGTAGAACCCCGGTATGCTGGACAGAATTAAGTGAGCAAAAGCTTGAAGGACCTGATCTCGTCCGCGAAACTGAAGAAAAGGTTCGTCTAATTAGAGAACGACTGCAAGTAGCTTCTGATCGACAAAAATCTTATGCCGATTTAAAACGTCGGGAGATCGAATACAATGTTGATGACAAGGTGTTTCTGAAAGTCTCACCGTGGAAGAAAGTGTTACGGTTCGGCAGGAAGGGAAAACTAAGTCCAAGATATATTGGACCCTATCGAATCACTGAACGTGTGGGTCCAGTAGCCTATCGGTTAGAACTTCCACCAAACCTTAACAAGATCCATGACGTATTCCATGTATCGATGTTGAAAAGATATCGTTCCGATCCATCGCATATCTTGACCGAGGGAATCGTAACTCTTGATGAACAATTAACTTATGAGGAGGAACCTGTACAAATTCTGGCACGAGAGGTCAAACAATTGAGAAACAAATCTGTACCTCTAGTCAAAGTACTATGGAGGAATCACTCGACTGAAGAGGCAACATGGGAAACCGAAGAATCAATGAGGATGCAATATCCAAACCTCTTCAATCAATGACTCAGGTAATTTCGAGGACGAAATTAATTTAAGGGGAAGAGAAATCTAACGCCCCAAAAATAGGCCTATCAGAATTAATTAATTGATAATTAATTAATTACTGAGAAGGACCCAAAAATATGTGAATTATAAAGTTTGTTAATAAATAATAAAAATTATGTCGTTATGTAGAGTTTGACTGTCTGACCGCAACGGTTCAATCGGATTTCAATTCGGAGAAAGTTGGACCAAAGAGTGTTCCCCGACTGGGACCAAATTAGTCCCAATCAGGGACTTGCGTTTGGAATCGTAGTAATCGGCCGTCCCCTCCACTGAGACGCCAAAACAGGAGAATTGGTTTCATCCTCCATGTCTCCTTCTCCATTCACCTCACTATATAAACCCTCCATTTCTTCACCATTCTTCATCAAATTTGATCTGAGAGATAGCCTTGAGTGTGGAGAACGCAGTGGTGCTGTCAATTTAGTGTGAGGTCGCCGGAGTTGAGAGCTATTGTCGCCGGAAGTTTTGCCGGAAAATCTACAAAACCTCCATTACGCTTCGAGGTAAGCCCGTAGATATATCTAATGACTAGAATGTTCATATAGGTCGTTTCTACGTTCATAAATGGTCATTTGGTTGAGTTTTGTGTTTGACATGTTTGAAGAACCAAGAATCATAAACCTTGAATTTGATGTTAAAAATATGTTTTAATAATTCTAATATGATCTATGAACCTTGGAGAACATTTCTATATAGTTTAATCGAAGTTTGGAACCTAAAAATGGAATTCCCGAAATTGAAGTCGCGAGGTAGAAGACGATGAACAGTGGCTGAAAAGCCACTGTCTGGATCGATCCAGGGGCTTGGATCGATCCCCTGGGAGTAGATTTTCATGGTATGGATCGATCCAGAGGGCTGGATCGATCCCCCGAAGTTCTGATCCGAAAATTTGCCCGAAATTGCTATTTTTGAGCTCTAAAATCCTATTTTTGATACCAATTGATTATGATTATTTTAAGGATGATTCCTTACAATAAAAATGATGTTTTTAACAAATAAAAATGTTATGTGATGCATGACGGTAAGTTCGGGTTTTAACACCCGAAGCTAGGCCGCTAGTTGTTATTGAATATTATGTTGATTAATGATTATGGTAATAATTATTGATTGATGATTATGATGATTAAATCTCAATAAATATTCTGATTAAAATGATAATTGTGAATGATTTAATCATAATGAATATATTGATGATTGTGAAAATAATATATTGTTAAGGGTATCTAGAAGACC